TGCACAGGGAACTTAGGGGAGCGGGGAGCTGATATTGGGGCTGCCGGTCCAAACCTGGTTCCAAGCCCCCACCAGCTAGCTGCAACGGGCTGCTCTTCCTGCAAGCAGTAGACAAAGCAGGCGGCTGCCAAACGACATTAGAAGGGAGCATTACACAACTTTAAATGAGCATGTTCCCTAATTGATCAGCAACGTAACAATGAGACAACGTTAACCGGGATGACTAAGTGAGGAGTTACTGTACTAGCAATTTCTTAGTAGCTACATTTCCCAAAGATTCCATCCACACTGAGCATGCTCTAGGACTTTCCCTGCAATAGCAGCTCTGGGCTGCTGCAGGCTGTGCCAAGTCCTGGTCCAGGAACCTGAACTGACAGTAGGGAGAGAGCCTCTCCTGTGTACAGAAGGCACAGGCAATCTTAATTCTGGCATTCCCTAATTTTTGTGTGCTTGACTTTGCAACCTTAATGTTCTTTTAGCACACTTTTCTTGCATTTAATACCTAACTGTATTTGAAATGCATTATTTGTATCTAACAGACTAACTTCAAGGGGTAGGGACATTTTCCTGTTTTGTGTAATATCAAGGACAGCACTCAAATCATAATTAACATCTTGCCATTGCAAATACTGCTTTACGCATCACTATTTTTAAAATCTGTCTTCTCAATTGCCCATTAAAAGGTCCCTATTTTGCTTCTAGGCCCTGGTCCTCCAATCAGATCCAAGTGGATGGAACTTGCTACCTGCACAGTCCCACTGAACTCTGACATCCCAAAAAGGTCCAAGAGTCCATCCACAAGAACTAGATTGCAAGGATGGGGCCCCAATTACTTGACTCCGTTCTGATATATTCTTATTTTTCCAACCAGCAGTCTGACATGATTAAATGTGTTCGTTAAGGGCAAAGTCTCAAGAAAATTGGAGTCAAAATTTGACCTTCCTTAAAGAACATCTACTACATTGTAGAATGTATAGTTTTAAAATTTCAGCTGTCAAAATATTTGTACTTGAATATTAATTCTTCAAAAACTCAGACAGAATTACGAAGTCAGAAGGTCTACATGTAAGATTTTTTTTTTAACAAGTAATGAACTACTTGAACATCTTCTGTATGCTGCTTTGTCAGTGTGCCATAGACAGAGTAGAAAATGGATTTATCTTAAAAAGTTTCATCAAAATAACCCTTTTTCTACTTAGAAATACATGTTTGAGCCTTGCAAGCTTAAATGACATACACGTTCATGTGCATTTTCCCCACCCCGAGGTAGGATCCTACATGCTCATGAAAGAGGCCTATCTATTATCTTTGTTACAGTAGTGCCCCATGGCCTAAAATCAGTATTGGGGCTCAACTGTGCCACATGCTCCACAAGTACATAAAGCAACATTCTTTGCCCTAAAGATATTACAATCTAATTTAAGACATTAGAAGTAACAGGGTAACAATAATAAGATCACACAGTTACATGGGTTAGCTAGTGCACAACTTGATTCCAAATTATTTTAACAAATATACGTGGCAGTTCTTGCCAGTATTACAACTTCCCACCCTTCTACACACAAACTAGCAACCACACATAGCACCCAGCCACCAAGGTGGCCATTAACAGTGACCTTTCAGCACCATTCCATGTCCATTCATTAACATGGACTTCAAAAAATCAATTCACCTACTTGTTAGCGGTGAGTGATAGGACCTACACCATCAATCTTATGAAGAATTTAAGATTTCATTAAAAGGTTTCCATTCCTTATTGTTGCAAAGATAACCTAAATAAGAACCAAATGTAAAGCAATGCAGTTCTGTCTTTCTAAGTTCACAGATAGCTCTCGTGCAGCTCCTAACTCTTCCAAGCAACAAGACACTGGTTAGTTTTCCTATAACATGCCAAACTCTGAAAATGACTAAAGTATGGAGGTTACTCTTACTACTTTGGAAAGCAATTAGCATCAGCGAAAGCAGGCAAAGGCGAACTTAAACTTTATCAGGCATCCTCTGGCCAAAAGCCAACACAAATACCCCCACCCCTATCCCTAAGCAGAGTTCAGGGGCAGCATGGTAATAAGAATTCCAGAAAATCCCCTCTTCCCAGCAGGTCAGTAGGCTCTGAGATTCTCATCAATATACCCGGGGAGTTTACAGATTGGTCCTCCACTCTTGTTTCATATCACTCTATCAAAATGTAAGTCCTCCATTAGACTAACACAGGGGTGGGCAAACTTTTTGGCCCGAGGGCCACATCTGGTTGGGGAAATTGTATGCAGGGCCATGAATGTAGGGCTGAGGCAGGGGGTTGGAGGTGCGGGAGAGAATGCGGGGTGTGGGAGGGTGTGCGGAAGGGGGCTCAGGGCAGGGGGTTGAGGGGCAGGAGGGGTGTGGCAGGGGGTTAGGGGGCTAAGGGCAGGGGGTTGGGGTGCGGGCTCTGGCCCGGCGCCGCTTACCTCGAGCGGATCCAGGGTGGCAGCAGCGCGCAACAGGGCTAAGGCAGGCTCCCTGCCTGCCCTGGCCCCATGGCACTCCTGGAAGTGGGCAGCATGTCCGGCAGTGGCTCCTGGGGGTGGGGTAGGTGGCTCCTCCGTGCCCTGCCCTCACCTGTGGGTACCAGCCCCGAAACTCCCATTGGCTGCGGCTCCCCATTCCCGGCCAATGGGAGCTGTGGGGAGGCGATGCCTGCAGGTGAGGGCAGCGCACGGAGCCCTCTGCCCCCCACTCCTCTCCACCAGTGGCTGCAGAGACGTGGTGCCGGCCGCTTCCAGGACCTGCATGGGGCCAGGGCAGGCAGGGAGCCTGCCTTAGCCCCACTGCGCCACAGGGCTGGCAATCCCGCGGGCCGGATTGAAAGACCTGACGGGTTGGAACCGGCCCGCAGGCCATAGTTTGCCCTCCCCTACTATAACAGTTTAACTAACTAAGCTTATTTTCTATAAAGCAGCTTAAATAGAGTTTCCTGTTTCTATATTTCAAAACAAAAATGAACATTAAATTAGTAAGATATTTCCAATATCTCATTTCACAAACATAAAAAACCTCTTCTCAGTTTCAACATATCAAAACAATCTTAAAATGACAAGCAGTGATACATGCAACCAATAAAGTCAAAGGCCTACAGCAGGTAGATTTTTACAATCTATATTGGTGAAATTACTCTGAATACTAGTTGGAAAGATATCAACTAGAAAATGATTCTCAATACCTAATGCTATATTAGTACTCATGTTCCAAGTACACCTCTACCCCGATATAACGCTGTCCTCGGGAGCCAAAAAATCTTACCGCGTTATAGGTGAAACCGCGTTATATCTAACTTGCTTTTATCCACTCTTGCGCGCAGCCCCCCCCCCCAGAGCGTTGCTTTACCGCGTTATATCCGAATTTGTGTTATATCAAGTCACGTTATATTGGGGTAGAGGTGTACTGTATAAACATTAACTTGTCTTCTCTCACCAGACACAACTGTTATTTAATCATTTAAGAATGCCTACGATCTATACAGAAGAAACACGGTCACCTCCAAAGAAAACATAGACACAGGATTTGCTTAGCTGACACGAAACGGAACCCAGAAAGCTCTATTTTTACTATGACTCTCAAAATGGCCAAGTAAAATGATGCATTACTGCACCACAGCAGTCTGCATACTTCCTGTACCTTTTGCTACTCTACAAATAAATCAATGTCACTAAAAAGGTTGACCAGTCTTTCCAACATGCGAAATCTCATCTGCCATGTTCTGGGAGAAATGGGGAGAGAAAATTAAAATAAATAGTTATTTATTAAATTGTGTTTAACTATGTCTAAACTAAAGCTTTTAGGACCTCTTGGTCTTCCTGCCCTTGTAATCATAGCAATCTCAAAATGTCTAATTTGTCATTTTATTTTTAATTAGAAAAAAGTTACATTTAAGGGAGGAAAAAAACAAGCTGGGTTTGAAAAGCTGAAATGCTGACATGTCCTGAGTTTTCTGATTTTTAAACAATTTTACAAACTTTAGGTAACTATAATACAGAGGGTTAATTTTCTGGGCACAATAGAAATCACTTATATAAAGAACCAGGACAATAGAAACCAGTTCTATAGACATACCATAGACACTTTAATATTAATCTAGGATAGGATCCTTCAATAAGGAGACCTATAATTATATTATTAATACTAGTAGTCAGCATGTTACACAAAGCTGGGTTCTGCTACATTCTTTTTTTCCCTCCACTCATACAGTGTAGTGTGGTCTCCGGGTGAAAGAGCCAGAATAATACTTCGCATTTATTTGCCACTTTACACATTCAAAGCAGTGCAGACCACGACTCAATTTTTGATTCACTAGTTTCTCTGGTACATTTCCTATCTTCCCTTGTTTCTTAAACCATTTGCCTGTCAGGATGAATTTAATGGGAATAGGACGCACACAGGCCTGCATTTTCAACAAATTCTGCTACGCCCATAATACTGCATCATGTGCCCCCTAAAACCAGCTTTTAGCCCAGGACCATGACGCACACCTCCACCTCCCAGACTCATCAAACTCCATCAGAGCCATGCCAACCCCAGCGGCCACCTGCAATGTACTCTATAGCCCAGAAGCTCCCATGGTCACAACTCTCCCCATTCCAGCTTCCCTCTCTTAGCCCAAACGCACCCCATATCTGACTGGCTGCCCCCCTGGCATGCCACATCATGTCCCTTTCCCCGAGAAGACTCCGCCACACAGCTGCGACGCTTGCCTCACACACCACCTACCTACCCGCCACTCAGGTGCATGCAGCCTCCCTCCCTCGCCATCCTGTCCCGTCTGCCCTACGATGCACCACCCCGGGCGCGCCCTGCTCCCTTCGCCCCATAATACACCCATAGCCCCCGCCCCACCTGCCGCTTCACTCTGCCACAGGCCCCCCCACACACACACGATGCAGCCCAGTCACACCTGTCCGGTGCCCCGCAACGCGACCCCCGCCCGCCCGCCCGGGGTGGAAGGACCCCCGGCGCGGTGCCCCCTTTACCTTCTCCTCCCTGCAGTCGGCGCCCGGGGCCCCGGCGCCCTGCGGCTCCCTCCTGCCGCCCCCCGCGGGGGCAGCTCTCCTCTCGGCGGCGGCCGCCCGGCCGGGCTCCCTCCTGGGGGGCGGCGGCGGCGGGGGCCCCGCTTTGTCCCCCCGGGAGCGGCCCTTCTTCATGGCGGCGGCGGCTCCTCAGCGGCGGCGGAGCGGGGGCCCCCGCGGCGCGCAGCCGGCCATGGCCGGGGTGAGTCACGGAGAGCCGAGCCGAGCCGGCGACGCCTCCTCGGCCCGGAGCGGAGGGACCAGCCCGGCCGCTGCCTCCCTCCTGTCAGGGCGGCCGCGGCGCGGAACGAGCGCGGCGGCAAGCGGCTGCTGCAGCGGCACCGCCCCCTTCCCCTGCTCTCGCGAGAGGCCAGTAGCGCCCCGACCGGCAGGCGGGAGGGAGGGAGAGCCGGGGCGCGAGACGGAGGGCGGGAGACGCGGCGCGAGGCGGGCGAGAAGGGGGCGGTAACGAGCGCGCGCGACACAGGGACAAGCGGGGGGGGGGGGGGGGCCCCCGCCCGCCCGGGGGGGGGCGCCCGAGGGGGGGGGGGCGGGGGGGGCGCAAGCCAGGAGGGGACCGCGCACAATGAAGGGAGGGGGCAGTAGCCACCACCCTCTGGCCCAGGCTCCCCTCAGCCTACTGCAGAGCCAGCCCTCAGTGTCGCCAGGACCCCCCCCCCAGGCCCCTGGCCCCAGTCCTGTCAGGGCAGGGCATAGGCTAAGGGCAGCTGGGCCAGGGGCCAGCCCAGCCATGCCGTTAGCTGGCTACCTTGTGCCTAGGGCCAATTGCCCAGATCATGGGGAAACAACGGAATGGGGGGATACCATGCCGGTCAGCGACTGACCGAACAGCGCTGCCAGTGTTGGACCAGCACTCGACAGCCTGGCACGTGGGCAACTCTCACAAGCACCAGCCTTGTGCAACCGAATCTGAGCTTTCATTACCAAAAAGGGATGGTCTCCAGCTGGTTTTGGAGCAAGGGAAACCTCAGAAACATGCATCAAGTGTAACGAAAGTAGCAACATCTGCCGGAGTCTAGAACAATAGGTCTGAGGGATCTGAACTGCCTCATTCACCTTAACTCACATGCCCAGTGATGATAAATTTAAGTATCGATATTATTCGCTATTTCGTTACTCAGGAAAGGATGTAACAAAGAAGAGGGGATCATAAGAGCTGTACCATCCACTGTGAATGTAGTCTTGTAACACCATCAGTAGGTGGGCATATGGGAGATACCACCACCTTTTAAAATCTCAAGAAGGAGCCACGCTCAAGGAGTCTAACAGGGCCCAGTCTGATTGAGGGGAAACCAAGACCCAGGAGTCCAGCAAAGTCCCTGGGCTTATTCAAATGCCACTGAAGGGGAGCCAAGATCCAGGAGCCCAGTGGAGCAGACACATAATCATATATTTTGAACATCTGTACAATCTACTATGAGTAGTCTCTTATTTTGGTAACTTGTATGGACATAGTTTACTGTGTGGGTGGAATTTGGAAAAGTACCACCTTTTTTTTTAACCCCTGCCGAACAATAACAGAATAATAAAACAACAGGAGCAATTTTGTCCTATTATACCTAGCCCCTTACATGTATGGGTAGACATTAGTACCCCATTCATCTGTAGACAACTCCAAGTAATTTGTAAGAATATGCAGATCAGGAATTTGCAAAAAAAACAGAGAGACAAGCAACAGTTGTCCAACCACATTTTATAGCCCAGTGTTTCCTTACAGAAAGACACGAACAGGGAACAAATGAAAATGGAGTTCACCATCTCTCTACTGGAAAAAATGAACTGTACTGATTCATTCTCAAGAAATAACCAGACCATATATCCTTAACTCTTCATCTCCTGTCTCATTTGAGCTAGTCATAGCCATATAAGCCTGTAAACACTTTGCCTTTAAATATTAACTGAATTTTGAGGCTATAATATGCCTGTTTCTGGAGTGATATGCAGAAAAAGCAGCCTTCAAAGTTGGTCTATTTTCTATGTTGCCATGCACAAATCAGGATGCATTCCACTGCTGTGGAAAATAGTTCTTTCTTCCGCTTTGCCCTGCTGAAAATGTTTGTATGTCTTTGGCCTGGAGACATAGATGTTGTAAATTCTCTTTTTTTTTAATAGAAACAGCAGCAGAATAAATGTTTTAATGATTTATTGATGTAAATGAGTGGGAGCTTTTTAAAATTATTCTTGAGAATGTTTAAATTCTCGTTGAAAGTTATTCCATTTTAATGATGGATTAGTGACAGCAATCCCTTTTAATCATAATTGTATAAGATTAAGATAAGACAGTCATTTTAGAAATTCCCATCTGGGAATCCTGTCCTCAGCAACCATAAATGAAGCACATTCCTGTAGTCTTGAGTTGTCTGTGTTAATATTAGTCTATTAGGATGGCATGATGCCTGTTCATAAATCAGTTGGATCCTTGCCCTAGAGCAGGGGTGGCCAACCTATGGCTCCAGAGCCACATGCAGCTCTTCAGAAGTTAACATGCGGCTCCTTGTATATGCACCGACTCCAGGGCTGGAGCTACAGGTGCCAACTTTCCAATGTGGCAGGGGGTGCTCACTGCTCAACCCCTTCCTGTGCTCTCCTCTGAGCCTGCCGTGCCCTCACTCTTCCCCCTCTCCCCTAGAGTCTCGTGCACGCCACAAAACAGCTGATTGGGAGGTGCAGGGAGGTGCTGATCGGCCGGGCTGCTGGTGTGTGGGAGGCACTGGGAGCGGGGGGCGGGGAGCTGATGTGGGGCTGCTGACGTACTACTGTGGCTCTTTGGCAATGTACATTGGTAAATTCTGGCTTCTTCTCAGGCTCAGGTTGGCCACCCCTGCCCTAGAGCATAGGTGCCAGTCAGTTATGAGTTTAGTGAAGCAGCCTGTAGGACACTTTTAACTGCCACCTCTTCTGAAAAAATCTTCTCTTGATTCAGTGTGATTCCTTATACTTGATCACACCTGTCCATTTAATGTGCCAACAAAGAATACTTGACTGGAGGAGAAAAGGAAGACACAATGTTTATGAAGGCTTCTGGCTGTTGAATATTTCTATCTGCCTTGGAAACACACTGACAATGACCCTTAGGCAGACTTTTATATTTTATTTACACCTATAAAGAAAGGTGGGACGACTTACTCAAGACCAGGTAATGAACAATTTGTTAAGATCTGATTCTCCTAGCTCACATAAAATAATACAAATTATGAATAATAATAATGAATAATAATGCTTACAAGTATTTTATCTCTTCAAATACTGTACAATGAGTCACATTGTCTTACATATCTAATAGGAGAGTACCAGTTATAAGTGGGCAGTTGTATAACAGGTTAAAATAAGAGTGCGTGGGTAAATACACAGTTTGTGTGACACCCAGGTTTGCAGTATTTAACCAAATTTCTCCTGGTATATTCCATAACATTGAAAAGAAATAGAGAGGGAAGAATTAATAAATATATATTCTCTATTCCATTCAAGCTGACTCAGATGGAGTGGAAATGGGGGACCACAGGGAGCAGGTTGTGGCTTCCTAATTCAGGGTAAGTTGGTCCCAGATCAAGTTAGCATACTCAGCTTTGCTGTGCCGAGCCCTCTCCTTTCCCTGCTCTCTCCATTCCATGTTGTCCCCATACTGCGTCTACAGAACACCCCCAGCATGCCCCACTTCCTTTTACACTGCAGCCTGGGAATGGCTGGTGATAGAGAGCTCCCCTACACAGGAAAAATTCTCCACTGGCCTTCTTCAACTACTTTAAAGGCACTTTGTATGGCCTTAAAAGACCACAGAATCCAGCCTAATATACTTCCAAAATGTACCAATGCTTAACATTTTCAGAAAGGAAAGGACACACATCAATCCCGAGCATTTTTATGACGCTTGGACACATTGCTATGGTGCAAATGACTGGATCTGGAATGGAAATATTCAGCATGGAGAAACCATTAGATTCATAAACCTCATTATTAAAACAGAAAAGAATAATTAAAACTAAATAGTATATGCTAGAATGATGCTAAACTTGTGCGAAGTCTGAGGACAAAATCAAGTATTTTCACTGATACTTTAACTTTACCATTAATACCAGATTTAAAGCAATAACTAAAACAAAAATTAGCCAGCTGATAAGTTGGCTCACTGTTTCCAGAGCAGAAGCTGCTGCTACCAAACAAATATATTACTGAGGCTTGTCACTTAACATTCTATTCATACTATGTACATGATCTTCATTCTCAACATTGCTACTCTGAGCTGGATGAAATGGCTCTAGCTTTTATGTATGCTAAGCCATCTTGTTCTTTCTATAAGTGGCCCAGTTCCAATGGTATTCACATAGAAGTTTTGGTCTTGACACTGGAATACTAAATGTTGACAGCTGGCATCATGCCATCATCTCTGACTGAAGACGGTGCAATTATTTTGGGGCAGATTGTCCTATATACAAGAAAGACCCACTGAGGGGACAAGAAACTATAGACCCTGTGCTACCACAATGCCTCTTGGCCATCCAGCCAATCTGGCCTCTGTGGCAGTACTCTTCAAGATTCAGTCAAAGGATGCCAGGATGCATCTGAGCTGTATCAGTTATGAGTGGCTAAGGTATAGAGTCAGTTATTTTAAACGGGTGAGAAAATGATATATGCATTGTAAGAAGAATAGGAATTTTTTTTAAAGGGTTTGAAATCCATATGGGTAATTAGAATGTTCACAGTTACATTAGGTAACGGGGGGAGGGTTGCTTGTTTTAAGAAAGGATATAAGTCTTCATGTTTCAAGGCATAAACTAGTCCCGAACTGATGGGGATTAGGAAGAAATTTCTCCTGCCCGCAAATTATTCCATAAGTGTCCCTTACAGAATTTTCTACATCTTCCTCTGAAGCAACTAATATCGGCCACTCTCAGGGACAAGATAGTAACCTGGATAGACCACTAGTCTGATCCAGTTTGGCAATTCCTATGTTTTTCTGTAAAATAAAGTCCAATCATAAGATGGAGATTTCCATTATTAGCTTTGTGGGCCCCGTATATGTATTAAGGAAATTTGTGCTGATGTTAGATGCTTCACTTGGCTCTGGTGCAATTCATCAACATAAAGGGTTTGCACTGGTGTATATCGTTTAAATAATAATAATAATAAATAAAGCGAGACAAGGTGGGTGAGGTAATATCTTTTATTGGACCAACTTCTGTTGGTGAGAGACAAGCAGAAGATAAAAGATCCAATAAAAGATATTACTTCACCTCCTTGTCTCTCATAACCTTGGACCAACATGGCTACAACACCACTGCATAC